ATAAATTTTTTAAAAAATCATTGAATTTGTGAAACGTTATTCAAATTTTATTAAAAATAATTGAATTCTTGCAAAGAATTTTTTTTTTAAAGAAAATAATTGAATTTTTGCGAAGAATTTAATTAAAAATTTTAAAAATAATTGAATTTGTGAGACTTTTTTAAAATTGTATTGAAAATAATTGAATTCTTGCGAAGAATTTTTTTATTTAAGAAAATAATTGAATTTTTGCGAAGAATTTTTTTATTTAAGAAAATAATTGAATTTTTGCGAAGAATTTAATTAAAAATTTAAAAAATAAAAATTTATGCATAAAATGGGTATATTTCCTACTTCTTAATAAAAATTTTTTAACAATTAACAATTTTCTAGTTTTTTTTTATAAATAGAAAGGAGAATAATTTGCATAATAATTTAGATCAGTCAAACGAAATTTATTATAGAAGTGATCGATTTCTTCATGTTTTATAATAATTAAAGATGACCGAGTGATAAAATCATTATTTTATATTATAAGAATATTGATACAGTAACTTTTTTAAAATTATTTTCATCATTTCAAATCAATTATTATTGTCTACAATTTTTAATTATCTTTTATGAAAATAATTGAATTCCTTAAAAAAACATTTATTATTGATAAAAATAATTGAATTATTACGAAGGAATTTTTAGAAAATTTGTAAATAAATAATTGAATTGCTGAGGAATTTTTATTATTCATGAAAATAATTAAATGGGTACTATTTTTGGGAATTTGAAATTGATTTGAAAATAATTGAACTTTGGGAAAGAATTTCGTTATTTATAAAGATAATTGGGATTTTGACAAGATTTTTTTTTAAATTTTGAAAGATAATTGAATTTTATGCGAAGAATTTTATCACTCTTGAAAATAATGGAATTTATGGAATTATTTGTAATTTTTCTAAAATTGGATTTTTTTACTGAACAAAAATGTGAATTTCAAATTTTTAAATTCTATTATTTTTAAAATTGCTAATTTTACCCTAAAAAGTTAGCCGCGCGCTTGAGCGTTCGAATTGTTGCTAGTAAAATATTAAAATATGAAAAATACAAAATTGGTACAAAATTGGTAATTTTTGAAGCTAAATAGACATTTTTTAAATTAAAACTGACAATTTTAACCCAATTTTAATTATTACAATTTTTGGGAAAAATTAATTAAATTGAAAAGAATAGGTTTTTTAGTTTTTCCTTTTTACCTTTTGAAATGCAGAATACAATTGTTCTTTTACTCTTTAAATATCACGTATGTACACAATTGTGTTTTGTTATATAACCAATAGGTGAAAATTGATTACAGAAAATTTGAAGGCTTCGCGCTGGTCTTTAATTAAAATAACAAATCTATAAAAGTGAAAAAAAAGAACCAAACAATTGGAGAAAAAAAGAAAAACCAATAGAAAGGGCCTTGAAAAACAATCGAATTCGCTTGGTATACATTATATAGGGATGGAAAATACACTTTTGCGCTCGCGTTTTTGCATGGTCGATACTAAATTAAACGTTGGAAGGTCCAATAGCCCAGACGTATTAATTACAGTTTAAAGCGGGTTAGCGTTAGCACGGATTTACCGACTCCAGATAAGAGCCAATAGAGTTGGCAATTGAGATTTACCGCTTTCCCTTTGTATAGTCAATTGTAAAATCTGCTCTTTATAGAAATATTTTATTACATACACGTGAATTTTAATCTCTTGATTTTAATGAACTAGATTTTTTTCCCCCTTAAAATTATAGGTAGTAGTAGAAAATAAAATTTCTTGATTTTTCTCTTTAGCTGATAAATTATAAGTTTTTTTTTTCTTTTTTTTTGCTTGAGGGAAATAAAATCTCGAAAATGTTCTATTCCCTCGATAAGGATTGATAGCTATCGGAAAACCCCTCCTCTCTCAATAAATGTCAACCCCTGACAATTATTGTTTTGCAAAAACTATTTATAGCTCTTCGTTTTAAATAAATAAAGAATAATTTTTTTTATTTTTTATAACTTTAATTAATTTAAGGAACTTTTTATTTAAATTTAATTCATGAAATTATTATCCTTCTGAATAATTTGGAAAATAATATATTGAAAAGTTTTGAATAATTGAAATTTCATAAAATTGAATTGTAAACAAGTGGATTTCTGTTAGTTATTATTTACAATTTAAGACAATTGGTAATTTGATATCAATTTTGAGAGTAATTACTAATTAATGAGAGTAATTAATAATTTTGACTAATTATATATTTTTATATGCAAATGAGAATATAATGGTAATTGTTGTTTGAAAAATTTGTTCATTTATTCCTACGTAATATAATTATTTACTTGTACATACGTGCATGTATACATTGAGGAAAATTTCCTTATTCATATCGTATTACCAGTATGGTTAGAATTGGGTCAATCATTAAAGTAAAATAATAGTTTAATTAGCAGCAAAATAATTGCAGAATATTGCGGAGTTAATATTTATATGTATAGGTATAAATTTATCTATTTTCTATGACGTCAATTATTAATTTATTTCCATTGAATATTAGATGCTATTGGTGGAAACTTTATCTTCTGTATCACAATAATCTCTTTTGTTTCTTTAATAATTAATTCATTCATTCTTTATTTAATAATACGTAATTTATTTATTTGTTTAAATATAATAATTTTTATATTTATTATACAATTTTATATATATTACATAATTTTTTTCTCTCTCTTTTTAATTAGTAAATTTTAGTTATTTTTACTAATTTTAAAATTTTTTTTTATTTTGTTTTTTTTTTGAAGTAGTAAATTTTACTAATAAACAGTAATTTTTATACTAATTTTTTAGTAAAATTTACTAATTCAAAAACAAAAAGTCAGTCACTAATTTTTTTATTCCTTTTCTTTTTTTACTCTTAAATTAATAAAATCCCCTAAATCACCTAAAATCATAAATTTTTTTCTCTTTTCCCCTTATGTAAAAAAAAAAAAATTGTAAAAATTGTCATTTTTTGTAAGTTGGAAAAATTTTTAGTTATGTTTGAAGAAAAAATTTTTACTTTTCGCAAACTTTAGGAAAATTTTACTACTTTGAAACTTAAAAATCTATTTATATTATTTCCCAATTTTTTCATAAAAGGTAACAAATATAAAATAATTTTTACTTCTAAAAAAAATTCAAATTGTTTGAAATTTTTGACAAATTTTATATTAATTTCAGAACAAATTTTACTAAATTCAAAGTGTATTTTACTAATTTTCAATAAAATTTTCTACGAGAATTATAAAATTTATCCTGGAAAAATAACTATTACTATTTTTGAAATAAATTTTTCTAATTTTTATAAAAAAGAATTTTCTTTAAAAATAGTAAAAGTTATTCTGGAAATAACAAATTTTTAATATTAAACTTTACTATTTTTGAAAGAAATTTTTTCCAAGTATCAATTTAATTTAATATTATTTTATTTATTATTTAATTATTTAAATAGAATAATTTTTGTAAATTCATAAAATAATGTATTTTCAAAAATACAATTACATATTTATAGATAATTTTCAAAGATAAAAAAATAAAATTCTGTAAAATAAAAAATTTTACAAAATTACTTATTGTTTCAGTTCTTTAAAATTATTTTCAGGAATTCAAGTATATCTTCAAAAAATTCTAATCAATATTTTTCAAAAACCTAATTTTTCCAGAAATTCCAAATTAAATCTTTCAAATTTCAATCATTTTTGTAAAATAAATATTTAAATACTTATTATTTTTGTTGAAAACACTAAAAGAATCTAATTTTGGAAAAATTACAAATAATTGCAGAAATTCAATTATTTTCAAAAGTGATAAAATTCTTCTCATAAAATTCAATTATCTTTCAAATTAAAAAAAAAATCTTGTCAAAATCCCAATTATCTTTATAAATAACTAATTTCCCCAAAGTTCAATTATTTTCAAAACAATTTCAAACTTCCAAAAATAGTACTCATTTAATTATTTTCATAAATAATAAACATTTCTCAGCAATTCAATTATTTACAAAATTTTTTTATAAATTCCTTCGCAATAATTCAATTATTTTTATAAATAATAAAATTTTTTTTAAGGAATTCAATTATTTTCATAAAAAATAATTAAAAATTGTAGAAAATAATAATTGATTTGAAATTATGAAAATCATTTTCGGTCATCTTTAATTATTATAAAACATGAAGAAATCGATCACTTCGAGTCTTCGACTCAAAGCAATCGCTATCTTCATGTTTTATAAAAATATTCTTCTAATTAATTGAATTTAAAAAGATTTGAATTTGAATGTTTTGAAAAATTTCAATTCCTACGGAAAATAATATTTAAATATTTATTTAAAAAAAAAGTTATTGATGTTTTCGAATAATTTTTTACAATTAAAGAAATTCGTAAATAAATGTAACAGAACATTTTTTTGAGTCAAATTTTTTCCTTTATTTTCTAAAAATTTAAAAAGTTTCAATTTCATTTTCAATTAAAATTTGTAATTGACAAATAGAATAGAATATGTAATGTTTCTTTTCTAAAAGAAAAGAATGAGTTTCTGAACAATATTGTTATTGTGAAATGTAAATTATGCATAAAATGGAGATATATTTCCTATTTCTTAAAATCTTAATTATAATTTTTTAACAATTAACAATTTTCTATTTTTTATAAATAAAAAGGAGAAAAATTTGCATAATTTAAATCAGTCAAACGAAATTTGTTATAGAAAAGAGCATATAAAAAAATTTATTTGTTAATAATAATTTTTTTATATTTTCTAATTTCAAATATTATTTCATTATAGATAATGATAAAATACCTGCATTTTTTCTATCTGTCAAACAATATTTTTTGAAGAAAAAAAAAACAGAAGCATACACAAAAACTAACTTTAAACTGCGAACAGAATGAATGAAAGAATACGAAGATTAATATAGTTAATAATTTTTTGTTGAAATGTAATTTTATTTTTTTTTTTGTTGGCAGATTGAACTCAAAATGGAGAATTGCAATTGTAACAGCCTGGTTGTTGGCCACGTGTGCTGGTAAGTACCTGCAAATATTCTTCTCTATAACATTGCGAAACATTATCCTCCTTCATCTCCTCCAGTATTCATTTCTGTTCTCTACGAGTTTCCTACCTAATTCAAATAGCTTTGTAACTTTACTATATATATATATATATATATATTTCTGTTAATATATATCGCACAATCTGCCATATTCACTCCAGACACAGTTGGGAAATTCTCTCATTTGTCCGAGACAAATGAATGTACGTATATGAAGAAAGATTTATTTTTTTTTTCAAATTGTCTGATTCTGTAAAGTTGAAAAATTTTTTCATATAAATATAATGCAAAAATGTCACGGTATATTTTACAAAATTAGAAATTTCATGTCAGCTATAAAATATATAAAATCTAAAGGATTAAATTTTCAAAATTTTGATAAATCTTTAAAAACTTGATTTAAATTTGCAATTGCATATTGATTTGACCATTCATTCATTCATTCAAATGAATATTTAATTACAAATTTAAATAAATGAATAAGGAAGAATTCGTAAATAACTAATTTAGGAGAAAATAATGAAACCTTTTGTTAAATAGTTAAATAGATATTGTATCGGAAGGATTCTGTCAGACTGAACTCGAATTTTACTATACTTGTATCCGAATAGAAGGAATTTGTAAAATTTGATGCATAATTCACATATTTTGTAAATGTGTTAAATTCGTTTTTGTCTGACTATTTATTGATTTATACTACTACTGATAGGAGATTTGTGGAAATTTCAATATTTACTCAAATTTCAATTTTTTTTATAAAATTTAAACTACTAATTATGTGAATAAATAGAAATGTTATTGTTGTCTGACTGCAAATTGTTTCTACTACTGATTTTTTAAATTTTAGATTAATATGCTTTGCTTGACAAAAACTGTTCGTACTACTGAAAAATCACTTGAATGTCAAAAGTCTGACTGTAAATTGTTTGTACTACTGATTTGAAAAGCTATCAGAAATTATTTAGGCCTTGTCTGACACAAACTATCGTTTACTACTGGAAAAATTACTTAAAATTCAAAAGTCTGACGGAACATACTGATTTTGAAAATTACCATTATTTTTATACAGTTTCTATGAACGAAAATTTTTTTAACTACTGCTTTTTACTATTACTTACTACTAGAGACTATTTTCTACAACTTTAAATAGTCTGACTAAAAGTGGCTCTTACTACTGAAAAAGTTACTTGTATTTTGAAAATTATGACTGAAAATTGTTTATACCACTGACTTTGAAAAATTACCATTAGTTAATTACCTCTTGTCTGACTGTAATTGACTCTTACTACTGAAACTAAAATTAAAAATATTCAAATTTCTTACTATTGTGACTAGAATTTATAAAAATTTGAAAAGGCTGACTATAATATTTGTTAATACTACTTATTATAAAAATTACCAAAATTAAAAAATTTATTTTATCAGTAGAAAGCAGCGATTTTATTCAGACTATATTTTTAATAATTGTTTCTACTACTGATTTTGAAATTTTTAATTCGATTAATAAATTCCGTCTGACCGAAACTGTTTGTACTACTGATTTTGAAAATTTTTATTAGTTCGATAAATTTTGTCTAACCCAAACTGTTTGTACTACTGAAAAGATATGTTCAATTTTATTTATTTTATCAGTAGAATGAATCGATTTTAGTCAGACTTTTAAACATTATTACTAGTAGTAAGAGACTGTTACTGTCGAACAAGCTTATAAATCAAATTTCTTAAAATTTAGAAGTCCTACTACACAAAAGTCTGACTAACATTTACCTGTACTACTTGCTTTCAAAATTCGATATTCAATTCTTCCACTTTTCTCTTCGCTATTTAAAATATTTTTCTATCACATCCTAAGAAACTATTCTTCAACATTTTTTTTTCTTTTATCCGAACAGTTTGTTAAAATTAATTTTCCTGTTTATAAGGATAATGTAGAAAAGTTTTCCTCTTTCGAAATATAAGGTAATTCAATATTTTCCATTCTTTTTCTCTTCTCGCTATTGAGACACACGAGCGAGGACTCAGTTTCTTGTGTACAGTTTTCTTTTTCTTTTTCTTTTCTATTTTCTTTCTTTTTTTTTATCTTATTTTCTCCTTTTTTTTCATCTCTTTTTTATCTTTCTTCTTGTCTCCTCTCTGTATCCGAAGTCGGAGATTTAAACCGTGAATCGCCAAAACGAGCTCTTAAACATCTACTGAATACGGGCAGAGTAGATGGATGTAAGAGGGTAAAGGGTGGTTTCCTGTTCCTAGAAAAGAAAACCGGAAGGTTCGTTTCTAGAGCTTGCCGTATCTCGAAGTAACTAAAAAAAAAGGAGAAAAATAATAAAAGAGGAGCAGAAAAAAAAGATGAATAAAAAAAGATCTCGAGCTCATCTTTTTTTCTCCTTTTTTGCTCATTTATGAAAAGCTAAACTTAAAACGAAGAGTATATAAATTCGCTATTCTTTTTTTGATATAAATATATATATAGAGAGAGAATAATATGATGAAAACTTAAAATATCTCTCGTGCAGAAATTTGAGGGATTCATTTTTCTACAAGTACAACGAATCATTTATAATGAAATTTGCAATAACTCTTGTGGGTTTTCATTTTTGGAATAACAAAATTAAATTTGAAGAAAATCTTATAAATGCAGGTTTTGCTATAATTATATCAATTTTAAATTTATTTCACGGGTCAACGAGCTTTTGTAATTTAATTTAATTATAAAATATTCTATTAATTTTATAAATAATTATAAATGTTTCAAAATAGATATGTGAAGCGAAACATAAGCTGAAATGAAAAAAGTAATATTAAAATAAAGCAGGGGTGAGAGAAAAATTTATTTTTGGTTTTTCTCTTATTTATAGACAGAATTTTAACTTTTCGCTTGAACCTAATAAAAACATATTCTGATACACTTTAAAAATGATTAAATACAAAAAAAAATTTTAATTCATTTATTTGTGAATATTTTTGTTTTGGAAATTTTTGAGTCACAGTTTTTCTAAGGATGGCAAATTGAGATAAAAAACGAATCAAAATGTTGCTTCGCAATACTTTTTATTCGTTATTTGTCTCAATTTGATATCTTCAGAAAAACTGTGAGTTAAATATGGTTTGTCTGACCGTAACTGTTTGTACTACTGATTTTGAAAATTTTAATTAGTAATTCATTTTGTCTGCCCGAAACTATTTCTCCTACTGAAAACATTATTTGAATTTCCAAAGTCTGACTGTAAATTTTTAGTACTACTGATTTTGAAAATTATTAGGAATGTAATCTATCTTGTCTGACTAAAGCCATTGTTTACTACTTACAAAAAGTTACTTGAATTTCAAGTAGTATGACTAAAATTTGTTTATACTACTGATTTTTAAAATTACCATTAGTGTTATACAGTTTGTCTGGACAAAATTGGCTGTACTACTGGCATAAATTATTTTCATTTAATTAGTCTCACTAAAAGTGTCTCTTACTGCTGAAAAAGTTACTTGCATTTTGAAAATTATGACTGAAAATTGTTTATACTACTGATTTTTAAAATTACAATTAACATGCATTGTCTGACTGAAAACTGCTTATACTACTGATTTTTAAAATGACAATTAATATGTATTGTCTGACTAAAAACTGCTTATACTACTGATTTTTAAAATTACAATTAACATGCATTGTCTGACTGAAAACTGCTTATACTACTGATTTTTAAAATTACAATTAATATGTATTGTCTGACTAAAAATTGCTTATACTACTGATTTTTTTAAAATAAAAATTAATATGTATTGTCTGACTGAAAACTGCTTACACTACTGATTATAAAAAACGTACCAGCTACTGTCTGACTGAAACTATCTTTTACTACTGAAAAGACAGTTACTTTTTTAAATTTATATTCCATTTTTATTTATTTTATCAGTAGAAAGCAACGATTTTAGTCAGACTATATTTTTAATAATTGTTTCTACTACTGATTTTGAAATTTTTAATTCGATTAATAAATTCCGTCTGACCAAAACTGTTTGTACTACTTATTTTAAAAAATTAATTAGTTGAATAGATGTTGTCTGACCGAAACTGTTTCCACTACTGATTTTGAAAATTTTAATTAGTTCAATAAATTTTGTCTGACCGAAACTGTTTCTACTACTTATTTTGAAAACTTTAATTAGTTGAATAGATGTTGTCTGAACGAAACTGTTTTTTACTACTGATTTTGAAAATTTTAATTAGTTAAATAAATTTTGTTTGACCGAAACTGTTTGTACTACTGAAAAGATTAGTTAAATTTCGAAAGACAACAAATTTTTTCTATTAAATTTGAAAAATTTTATTAGTTTAATAAATTTTGTCTGACTGAAACTGTTTATACTACTGAAAAGATAAGTTGAATTTTTAAAGAGTGCAAAATTTTTCTAACTTTGAAATTTTTTATTATTTTAATAAATTTTGTCTGACCGAAGTTGTGTCTACTACTTAAAAAAATTAATTGAATTTCGAAAGACTGCAAATTGTTTCTAATACTGATTTTGAAAATTTTTATTACTTGAATGAATTTTGTCTGAACGAAACTGCTTCTACTATACTGATTCTGAAATTTTTAATTAGTTTAATAAATTCTGTCTGACCGAATCTATTTGTACTACTGGAAAAATTACTCCAATTTCAAAAGTCTAACAGCAAATTGTCTATACCACTGATTTTCAAAATTATCAGAAATCTAAAATATTTAGAAAAGTTTGTCCTTTCTTTTTTTAGTAAAAACTTTCTTTTTTTCTTTTTTCTCCCCTTCTTTATATGTAAAAAAAATTTCTATGCAAATATATTTGACACGTGTAGAATAAGAAATGCAATTTCGAAAATTTTATACATATAAATAAAAGTTTCTTCACCACTTGTGAAGAAATATATATATATATACCTACATATATATTTATATCGAGGGAGAGAGTAACTTGCAAATAAGATTTTTAAACCCTAATGC